AACCTGTCCCCCTCCCCCCGCGCTCCGCTTTGCGGAGGGGGCCCGCGGGGCTGCGGTTCGCGCGGTGGCTCCGCTGCTGCCTCCCGTGAGTTTTTGCTCTGCGTGGCACTGCGGCGAGCCCGGGGCCGACCAGAGCTGGCTTGTTTTGTGCAGACCCCCCTGCTTTTCAGCTGGGGGCTGCTGTTAAAATCGCGCCGTTTCTCTTTGTAATGTTTAGAGAAAAAAAAATAACTCGTGTTGGCTTCTTTGAAGTAAAGTTCTCTTTCGGCAAAAGTCGCTAGTTAGTTAAATACACTTGGCGAAGCTACTCACTTCTCGAAACAAGGCGCATATTTTTTTTCTGAACTGGAAAGATAAGAGTAGTCTCAAGGATTCCAATCCATCCTGGATATTTTTATTAGATACAGCAGTGTCCTCAAGGACTCCACCAAGGCATCTCTAAAGCAGAGAGAGAATTATAAAATAACTTCTGTTGTCTTTTACTGCAATGAAATACTGCTACCGTAAGGGTGCCACTAAGCAATCTTGGGAAAGGAAGGAAGAGTTGCAGCTTCATTGTTTTGGTTTCCTTTCTCTTAGTAAACCACAACACTATGTTAGTCGATTCCAGTTAATTAGAGGAAGAGAAATACATTGTCTTTGTTCTTGTACAAAAATTCCCGTGAGGAGGGTCATTCTTCATACAAGTAATGTATTAATAACAATCAGCATTACAGAATGATGACGCAGTACTATGAAGTGTTTAACACTTGGCTCTCTCCCTTTGTGGGGCTGCATGGGGTGTGTGTTAAACCTGGCTTGGGGTGGGAGGGGTGTTTGTGGGTTTTTTGTCTCCTCTTTTGTCACCTATGGAGTGAGTTTCATTTTGATGGCCAAAACTGAAATTCTACCCTAGGAAAGTTAACTGTAAATTTCAGACTACTATCTGGGAGGAACTTGTTTTCTGGTTACACAGCTATTGTCCCCGCAGTAATAATGGTAGTGAGGGGTAATAATTATTGACATGTTTCTTGTTTCTCTTCTGATCATATGTCAAATTTAGACAGTTTATTGGAGGGTTTTCCGACTGTCCTGTTTGCAGAGCATCCTAGCATGGGCAAAATTCTCATGTAACCACATAACTAGAGGAAGTAATTGCAAGGGTGCAATTAGGTTGCTTAGGCCTAGCCGTACATAGAGCTTATCCTCAGTTATCATAGCTGGTGTTGGTTGTGCTGCCAGTCTGAAGCACTTGGTACTGGCAAAATGAAAGGTTAAAGAAAACAAAGTTTCAGAAGGTGCCCTCTGGCATCTGTCGAGAAGACCATGGAGAAGGAGGTGTGCCAAAGTGCTAGAAGGTACACAGAAATAAAACATGGGCATTTCAGTAGGTGTTATGTACTGAGTTTTGTTTTATATAAAGGTGGTAGTAACTGAACAAAATATGCCGAATGTGGAAGACAGCTGATCAGTATAGCTAGACAGCCAAATACTGTGAGAAATACCAACAGATGAGTTAATGCTATAGGACTAGAAGGTACTTGGTAGTGTAAATGCACTCCAAGAGGAAAAAGTAGTTTTTTTTTTTTTCCCGAAATATTAAGATAATAGTTTCTAAAAATGCATTTCTAAAATTCATGCATTTTTGTGCCTCAGGACTCAGTGTAATGTGTGATGTGCAGAAAATTGAATTCATTTAGAGTGAATTTCTACCTAACAGGAAAACTCTATAATGGCTGTACATTCCATCTGGCTAAAGCACTACATGTGATTTTTATTTGTTTTCATCTCTGGTTTCCTTTTCTTGCAATTTGATTTTTTGCCTTAATGGCTAAATAGTACATGGTAAGAGATTTTTGTTACTTCTTGAATTTAAAAGTTCTTCATGTTACAGTGAATACAAAGTAAAGTTGTAGTACGCTTCTGTAGAATCATAGCATCATTATGGTTAAAAAAGAAAGACCTTCGAGATCATCAAGTCCAACCATAAACCTATCATCACCAAGCCTGCTAACCCATGTCCCTAAGCACCTCATCTACACGTTTCCCAAACACTGCCAGGGACGGTGACTGCACTGCTTTCCTGGGCAGCCTGTTCCAGTGCTTCACCACTCTTTCCATGTAGAGGTTCTTCCTAATGTCTAACCTAAGCCTCCCCTGGCTCAACTTGAGGCTATTTCCTCTTGTTCTATCAACAGTTATTCTGGAGAAGAGACTGACCCCTGCCTCACTACCACCTCCTTTAGGTAGGGGTAGAGATAAGGTCTCCCCTGAGCCTCCTCTTCTCCAGACTAGATAACCCCAGCTCCCTCAGCCGCTCCTCCTAAGGTCTGTGCTCCAGCCCCTTCATCAGCCTCGTTGCCCTTCTCTGGACACGCTCCAGCATCTCAATGTCCTCTCTGTAGTGCCCAAAACTGAGCACAGTATTTGAGGTGCGGCCTCGCCAGCGCCAAGTACGTGGGGACGATCCCTTCCCTGGTCCTGCTGGCTGCACTGTTCCTCATGCAAGACAGGAGGCCAGTGGCCACCCGGGCACACTGTTGGCTTGGCTTTAGCCGGCTGTCAAAGAGCACCCCCAGATCTTTTTCTGCCACACAGCTCTCCAGCCACTCTGCCCCCAGCGTGTAGCACTGCATGGGGTTGTTGAGACCTAAGTGCAGGAGCCGGCACTTGGCCTTGTTGAACCTCATACAGTTGGCCTCTGTTCCCTTCAAGGTATAATTAAGATACATCTCCATTTAGACAATTATATAAAGTGCAGATTTTATTTTTTTTAATTCTTTTTTGTATCAAAACTTGCTTTCAATTAAATGAGTTTTTTTTTTGCTATTTCTGTTTCGATTGCTGTGTCTCAAATCATTTGAGCTGAAGAACAGATACAGACTTTTGTAAAATACGGGACTTTGTAAAAATGTTAAGCTTGGATCTGCAGTGAACTGTGTTTACTTGCAACTGAGATAATTTTGGTAAGGTAACAGGTGTAGGAAGGATTCTTTTAGGGAAATGAATTGTTTTGTTCACAATTAACCAACAGCTCGTAGTTTTCTTTCTGAACCTTCCTTCAGGTGAAGAATCCTCTGAGCTCTGTTTGAAGTTAACTGTTGTTTGAGGAGGTGGAACAGACTAAATGAACTGTATCCATATCATTGCAACCATGTAGTATCCCTCTGGCAATTCTAAATGAACTCATGAATGAAAAAGCTGAACTACTTGTGTCCTGTAACTATTTGCCTAGACCTGTCCTCCTACATGACAACCAAAGTAGGAAGCTTTTAAAGCAAAGTTCTAGAGGAGATCTAGGGGAAAAAATAGATTGATAAGCCAAGTGCCTATAGCAGGTAAATAGTAGAAATACAGTAAAGAAAAGAGCTGGTGAGCATGTAGGGGCTTGTAAAGTGGGATCATGGAATCACAGATCTATTGAAATTCTTTGAAGGTGTTGAGTTGCATGAAATATATTAATGTATGTATGTAGAGTCATCTCTTTTCAAGACAGTACAGCTGCTTAAAAAAAAGATATTAGTGTTATTAGTGTTTAAACTTTAAAAGTCTTTTAAAGTTACTGAATTAAAGAGACACAGAAACTCTAGCTATATGGCATGGTTTTGTCGCAGGGGCTTAGTATACCTTTGTATTAGACTAACTGTAGGAAAATACATGAAGGCATAATTCATGAGTCACTTTTACGTGTAGTTTTGTATTCTTTCACAGATATATTGATATTATTGCTCTACTAGATTTGAATACAAAAATATTTCTTACCACTTACATATTGAGAGAAGATATTAACTGGTGGTACTGCTTCTTATGGGGCAAAAAGGATTACCAGAATTAAGGGAAAAAAATCTCTTCCTTTCTGATGCATTAGCAGGATGAATCAGTTGGGGAAGTATATTTCAAGACTCATTAGGGCTTTATCACGTAGAAAAGTTTCTAATAAAAGTTCAAAGCAAAAGTTTATTTGATACTATAACCTGGTACTTTTTATCCTGAAAGTATCTAACTAATCCCTCTGAACACAGCTGCATAGATTTAGCAGAATTTTTTAAAACAAATTTCTCTACTGTTTCTTAGATTACCCACCTGCAGTAAAAAACAAAATAACTTTGTTATTTATGACAAATGTTCTGACCTTTTAGTAATTGTTATAAATCTTATAAATTAAGCTTGATATCTCAGAGGAAGTCTGTGAATTTAAGCTGTGAACCATGTTTTGCTTCTGAATAAGTGCCCTAGAATTTTAAATATGGCCACTTCAAAAGCGAGCCTGTTTACATGCTTTTAGGCAGTTTTTACTTCTAGTATCCATTTGTCACTTCTTTTTGCTCTCAAGTGGTATGTTTTCATGTGGGCAAGTGAATCAAAAGTAATTCTAATCAGCTATGTTGTTTTATTTGAAATTTAAGTTCAGAGAAACACATAACTTGTGCATGGAAAAATAACATTAATGCAGCATTCAGCAGATCACTGAAGCGGTTTTCAGTTCAGAAATTGTAGTGCTGAAATTTGTGATCCATTCAAAATATAATTTCTTCTTTTTGCTGTACAAATGATTATAGTCCATTAAATAATGCATGTATTATTGAGCCTTGCATGTTAGGCTAATACTTTCTGCAGACCTGGGATTTATTTTGTATGACTCTGGAAAATCTACAGACTCATCTGTTCTTTAGAAAGCTAGTTCTCTCACATTTCTGAATAACTTGCAGTTTGTTACCTGTAACTGATGTTTTTCTTTGGTGTATTATTAAATAATAATAATATTCTGGATGTTTGGTGATGTACTTAAGATGATGTTCTGCTATCAATTATATTTTATCCTTGTACTTTATATCTAAAACTAAAATTTTATACAAAGAAATCACATTAATATCTATTCCTTTATGAAGAAGATTTTGTCTAAAACTGTAATATCAGCAGAAGGTGAGGTTTTGTGATTTTTTTTTCCAAAAAGTCATCAGCATTCTCTCTAGGCTTTTGAACTAAGATAATCAAGTTGTTGCTTTCTCTTATGCTGATTAACTAAATTGTAATTATTGCTGTTTTCACTAGCTTATTTTTTATTATTGTTTTATTATTTATTATTTTTTGTGTGTGTGTGTGTATGCAGAGCACAAGGTAATCATAGTGGGACTTGATAATGCTGGAAAGACCACCATTCTTTACCAGTTGTAAGTATACAAACTATTTTGTTTTTCATGTTACACCTCAGTATTTGTCACTGCTTAGTCACTGAAAACTGTTCTGAAACGTGACAGAAACTCGCGTGCCCTCGTGCACAGTAGGTACCTGGATGGTATGTCATTCTAAACATATTTCAATTTAATATTTAAATGATGAATAAAGGTCATGCAGTGTTTTAAAACCAAGTTGTAAATAGAGTAAGCAACATAATTGTACAAGCACATAGCAAATTGCTAATTATTTTGGTGTTAATGTCTATTTTAGTTGGTAAATGTAAAAATTATCCTGTGACTGAAAAGGGGAGGAAGTGACTTTCAGGGAAGAAAGTGTATTTTTAAATGAACTGGAATTTTAGTAACTACAAAAATCCATGAATTTTTCCAAATGTTTCGTGATTCTAGGGCCTGATGCTGTTGACAACACACTTAACTACCCCCACCTCTTGCCTGCATTATATAAATGTCTCTGATAATCTCAACATTATTGTCAGGAACATAATCGCTGTAGTGACTGTGAAAAACAAGTAGGGCAAAATTAAATGACTGTGCATATACTTAGATATGAAGGAGGAATAGGATATTTCCCCTAAAACCTTTTTTTTTTTTTTTTTTTTTTCCGGACACTTTGTCAAAGGTGAAAAGTAGAACTGAGATATTTTCCGATAAGTAGTCTACTAGTTGACCAGTCCTTCAGAATTTCTTATGAAATTGAGTTAATAAATTCAGTACTTTGATAAATTATATTCAGAATTTAGTTCTGCACAGTTGAGTGTTTTTCTTATCTGAGGATAATTAAAATGCAACTTTCTGCTTTGGAACTAGCACATTTTCAGAAGAGTCTCTTTTAAGAAAAGTTTGTTAAAGAAAGAGATACTTATCCGTTTGTCATAAGCATTTTCTGTGTTTCGTTTTCATTGTCTTCAAGCACATCTACAGTTTTTGTTTTGTTTCTTTTTTTCTCTCTACAGCACATACTGTAGGAAAAAATTGTCAACTGCAGTCTAGAACTGTTTAGAAAAGTTCAAATACATAGCTTTTCAAAAAATGGATGATTTGATATCATTTTAGGAGAGATAAGACGTGTATTTTTTCCCCTTTAACAAATTCATTATTATTGATTCGTGATAAGTCTTGTGGAATTTGTTGTTTGGTATTTATGATGTGATATTGTTTTCTTCAGCTTAATGAATGAAGTGGTCCATACTTCTCCAACCATAGGAAGCAATGTGGAAGAAATAGTAGTGAAAAATACTCATTTCCTCATGTGGGATATTGGAGGACAAGAGTCATTACGGTCCTCATGGAACACCTATTATTCAAACACAGAGGTATGTGAAGTTGCTCCCAATTTGCAGTTCAGTAAGCTTAGTTGCAGGTATTTGTTTATTGGAAATATGGGTAGATCTTTAGGAGGATTGTTAACTTTAAATATTTTTGAAGCAGAACAAGCTCAAAAAGTATCAGGTATCTCTGGCATGCATCCAACTGTTTGGTAATATTTAAGATATTTTCCCTGCCTACTACAAATTACTGTTGTTGTCTCTGACCTGTAGAGTGAAATATGAAGTTGGATTTTTAATTTCTTGACCACCGAATGATAACAAAATAAATTTTTATATGAAACTGATCTTTTGCTTGTTTTTCTCAAGTAAGTTAAAAACCATTTTTTTCAATGTACTCAGTGGTTAAACTAACAGTGGTTAGTGGTTAAACTGACTTCTGTGTGTCTAATCTGAAATGTAGGGCAATGATAAATAAGGATAAAGAACAAAACTTTCTCCAGGCAGCAGTATTTAAAAAGCTCAGCAGCTTGTGGCTTTTATCCAGAGGATAATGGTATGGCCAGCTGAGCAGGAGTCAGGACATACTTGTAAAGCTGCCACTGCTAGAAAGGTTGGACTAGAACTTGCCAGCTGTTGTCCTTTTTGATTTCTTCTCCCACCCATTCCCCTGCTTCACCCTCCACTCTGCCCCAAAGTAACATTTTGATACCAAAAGACTACGAGCATTCTTTTAAAATCTCTAGTATCATTTTGAGGCTTGCATATTGACATACAGAATTTTAAGCTTCATTTTTTTTTAAACCATGTCTATTAAAAGTAGATGGCTTTAATTGTAAATGTTATTTCTTATGCAAGTGTTCCATCCTCCTGTACCATTGTATTTTGCATTTTTTACCATTGTATTTCCTGTACCACATGCATTTTCTGCGTTATGTTACCCTTTGGAAGAGGAGAGGTTAGAGTGATCTACCCCAAGTGGTCAGAAACTTTTTAACTACTGAAAGCCTGGTGATAAGTATCACCTCTAGTATTTTTTTTCTTTTTTTAAAATGTTTTTCATTCTGTCTCAAAAAAACATGTCTAAGACAAATAAGAGAAGGTAAAGAGACTTCTGCCAGTAACAGCTGGTACAATAACTTCTTGACCTTTGCATGTGGGTTCCAGGGTTCTGGAATTTGAGGAGATACTTCTCTTGGCTCTTTTTTGATCCCATTTGGAAATGGTTTTCATCACAGTGTTCTGGTAATGAGTGTTTGAAATCCAGTGCTCTCTAGCAGTTGACAGGAACAACTTTCCATTACTTAGAAGCTTTGTTGAAAGAGTTGAGGAAGAAAAGGGATCTGCTTGATATGCTAATCCTAGTATCCTTATGCATAATTCCTTTACTGTTCCTCCTCGTCTGCCAGACATCTCAAAGTCATAGTGGCATTAAATTGACTTAGTTTTTCATACTTTCTGGTCCCTTTCAATGGACTATCTTTCTCCTTAATTTTATGAGGCGAAGTGGTTTGGAGCATATGTTGGAGAATTATAGCAGTGACTTATAATCCTTTTTTGTTACTGATTGCATGTAGCTTTTATGTCTTACCTGCTTCTTTATCTATAAATTGAAACAATCTAAGAAAATCTTTGAAATTATGAAAAATCTCATAAATAAGCTTTTAAGTGCATACCTATCTTAAATAGTTTCAGGTTAACATGGATAATATGGATAGTTCTGCAGTTCTTCTTTAAAAGTCGTATCAGCAGGTTGTACAGACAGACATAGGTGCCCAAATTTGGTGTGAGGAGGTGGAAGCGGCCAGGAGCTGTATCTGCTGGTGTACCTTGTCTCTGATAGTTATCCTCAGGGGAAAAAACAAAAGGAGCGAAAATAAGAAAAAGGGACAGGAAAATTGTTCCCACCGGTGAGCTGGAAAGGGAAGTAATAGTGTTTCTCAGATAAATGTAATCTCCAGGGAGTTCTCTCCAGCGTGGCATGTAACACTTCTCCATAGTAGGTGTCTGATTTCAGTCAGGACCCCTTTGATCTCC